TTCGGTATCTAAATATAGTAATAATCATAAATTACGATATTATAGACATATTGTGCTTCGAAGGCTGCACGTCGTTTTGGCGGGATATTTGGCCACTGGAATATTTGAGTGAAAGCGTAATTCGGGTGTTAAGTACATATTTGCCGAGCATACCTGTTTCAAGTACGGGACATGACATTTTTTAAGGACATGCTTTTATCTATGCAGTCATTGGGAACGAAATCTCGTTATTTTTCCTGGGAAACCACGTGTTCAACATGCATGGCACGCAATTTATATGATATATATATAGCACTGGAAAAAAATAGTGAAATCCATACTATGAAACTTGCAATTGTATCACTAAATCCATAGTAGCTATATATATCCATACACTATTTCCATACTAAATTCATAGTATATATGGAAATTGCAATTAGTATGAAAATTGGATTTCCCTACTATTTCCAACGAATATCCATACTATTACCATACTAGTAATTAGGATGTTGAAAAAAATTTCCAGTGTATAGTGTTATATTCAATGAAAGGGTTTTTTCTAGACACAATGATTCATTTAATGCTTGCCATTCACTCTGAAAGCACTCTGGAAAACAACCATATTTGGGTTAATTTAATATTCCTGATTCAATTTCCTGGTTATTTTAACCTTTTTCCTACTATAGTCTAGTTTGGTAGTTCAACAGTATATATAAACCAAAACATTTTTTTTGAAAACTTGGTGGAATCCCGGAGGATTTTGACCGTTTTTAACAGCATTTGACCGTTATCTCCAAGCAATCAACCTTGATTTGAGTGTCAACGAGAGTTTGCATGACTCGTTTGACTGGTCACAAGATCACTTCACGAGAACGTTAATTTTTGTGGCGTTTTAATGCACTTTATAGATTCGAACTATCATGGCTTAGTAAAATAACATGTAATGGTTTATCAATTATATGACCATGCAGAGTACAATAGCCTATATAAATTCGATTTACCAAATTTCAACTGATTCTACTGGAGGATCTGTTTCACTTTGACACGATAACACTTACTACATGCTATAATTTCAACTCTGGCACAATTTGTTCCGTTTTCTCTATACGAGTTGAGGCTGCAACTTTAATGCAAACTCTCGCTTGCCAATTCTATGGTATATATACAGGCTTATGTGATAAACAGAAACAAAATACTAACATGCATGCACACATATCGTGCAGTGTTAGTAATTTAATTATTAAAGTTTTTCAAGGCTGACTGGTTTTCTTTCAATTTTATCAAACCGACAGCAGGAAACTTACACTCAAAAGCAATATAAAGATGCATAAAAACTAGGCGGCAAGGATCTAACTTGGTTTTGTTATGCTAAAAAATTGCTAGAGGGAGCAATACTTGAAGTGTTCGTTATGTTTTATATTGAAGCAATGATGAACATTTCTATCAAATGCCATGCAAATGGAAAATGTATGTGTCATGCATGTAAATGTCATAAAGAAAGGTTACTCATAAAAAGATTTTTATTCTACGAAAAGATAACTCGATTTCCAATCCTTATTTTTATAATCAACATTTTGGTTGAAAAAACACATATAATTAACGGTTCACAAATGCCTAAAGGCATGGTTAATTAATAATAATATAACTTTAGTAAATGTATCAGTCATGCATGCATTGGTTATCAGCATTAATTTTCCAATTGCACGGTATAGCTCTACGTGTGAAAATTCACACGGCCAGATTATTAGTTGAGCGTTGTGCTTGAAAAACGTCATTCAAAACCAAACCTCACTGAACATATTTGGTAAATGTCATGCAACCGCTCAGCCAGCAACTGAACATTTCCCATACCTTAAACTCTAAGCGCGCAAAGCTTAACGGGAGCACGAGTCTCAAGCTTAGTAATTGAATATTACAGCTATTTGTGAATGAATTCTTCTCGTAAGGAGATATTTGCCATGCCTCTAAGAAATGGGATATGATTTCTGAACTGATTTAATGATGCTCCCACTATGCTTTGCACGCTTAGAGTGAAAGTTTAAGGTTTAGAGTTTTGATTTGAGATTCTATTTTGATTAAAAATTTCATTAAAAAATTAATTGAATTTCAATTCAACTTTTAATTCGTAATTGGTTTAATTTAAGCAGAAGTGATCATAAAGTGTTTGTGATTCGTTTCTTGGCGTTCCGCTGTTATAACAAACCAATCATTGAATCTGTTCATATCATACTATACTATATAGTTACTGCAGGTGACGTTTCAGTCTTAATTGTTAAAGTAGATTTTGACCCAAAAACCATTCAAACCTTCAAATTCCGTGTCCGTGATTAGGTCATGCACAGAATTAATTTTGCCGTTGAAAGAAAAAAATAGCGCACGTATACGCATGTCTATACGATTGTCTCAAGTGTTTTGAAGAGGCAGTATGCTTTTGGCCAATAAAAAAATTACAACGTTTTCTGGATGACTCACGAATCCACCAAACAGGCCAATAAACGCTATATACTTTAGAGACTACCAAAGAAAGCTTTTCCAAAGCACCAGGGCCGGTTGTTAGGTGGATTAGCGCTTACCCTCGGATAAATTTAACCGCTGGTTTGGTTTGTGTATTTCTGCACGTCTGATTATTTCAAAACTTCCGAGAAGTGAGCTCCTATCAATCCAGACAAGATTTCTGAATATTTCCAAATTGATAAACAAACAGTCAGGACGTTTCGAACAACTTAAAGCCAATCGGCTTTCGAACAACCGGCTCCGAGACATTGTCACAATTTAGGCTCTAGCTATATACTCCATAGTATCCCTCAGATATTCATTGTTCATCGCTAGCTATATACGTACACTGCATGGAAGCACACACTTATAAATCATCATAACAAAAACTGTTCCAATTTTACACCGGAGTCGACAGTCATTAGACATTACTAATTGGAAAGCATGATTTGATGAAAATAACAGAGGCAGTATACCTCTCAAGATTTGAGGTATCAGCAAGAATATACAACATGCGGTGATATTTCGATTTTATTTCAAAGTCATTAATTGTCAAACCTCCTGCGGTCCTAATGTTAACTGATAAAACACAATTATTAATAACTCTATATATTACGCTTTAAGCGGAGCAGACTGTGAGATCCCAAAGTTGTCCGTTGGCGGTTCAATAAGAGGTCAACTGTATAATTACAGCAGTTTTACGTGATAGCGATATTTGTTTTCCACATTTAGGTGCGGTCACTAATTCAATATCAGAAAGTTAACAACTGGACAAAGCCCGCCAAATTCGATCACGACTCACAATTTTATAATTATACATGATGACTCATCGCGTATAATTACAAAATATTGAATTTGTTCAGTTCAACTCGACAAAAGCCATGGCGGCCACGTTGGTGTTCCAGACAAAACAGTCTTAATTAAAATTCTTTTGAATGGGAACACCAACATGGCGGCTGTGACGTGATGTACAAACGCTCTATACTGAATAGAAACGTACAACAGTTTTTGGCACAAATCGCGCCATTGAACAGTGTTCTTAGTTCAGTTAAAGAGTCAGAGAGTCGACATAAGGTTTTTTGGATGCCAATTAATGAGCGAGATTCCGGTTTTTCCGAGTGATACAAAATATCATTGACGAACTTCAAAGACAGCAGGAGTCGGACCAATGTGATGAAAATAAAAGTAGCAATATCGTCTCATCGGGATTTAGTAGAATATTAATAAAGTACAAGGTTTTGGCAAGAACGCAACCCCCCCCCCACATCAGCAAACCGTTTTCCTCCTCTTTCATGTCTTTTGAACACGATTTCTTTAGAAAAAATTCCCTCTTAATAACAACAACATTTTTGACGCAAGTCCAACGAACTTCATCAATCCTAAACATAAATATGATTTTCACGCCCTGTAAATAGCCCAACGTCTTTCCGTACGTTAAAGGACTATATATCCGCAATTAATCACCCACGTCAATACCAAGAAGAACCCAATTTTAAAAACGCCTTACGTCACGGCAATAGTTCGTGTGCGTGCCATCGTTCCGAACACGCTTCCGGTACTTACATGTACAGGACACTGTTTTTTCTTCCTATATTTACGCTCACAGGCGGCTATATTTGTTGAAGCAAATTTTCGCTGTTTTCTCTGGTTCATCCGCGGCTTGAGTCTCCTTTATGTTGACAGGATTTTATACTATGATCTATGGGATTGTATATATACTGTGAAGATACGTTCGTACATTACTCAGCTGTGTACAAGAACAGTGTATACACAGAACTAGATCAACTAATCCCAACAGGAGCCGGAGGCTGACATCCTGGTCTACGAGGTTGGCATATTCCATGCAATTTTAACTAACAAGATTGATGAAGGATACCTTCCGGCCAATAAAATTTAGCTACATAATTCTGCCTAATGTTTCACTCTATTTGTTTCAGAAATCATAGCTATACTCTATAGTCTTATAGTTTACAGATCACTGACTACCTCTACGATCTCCTGACTACCATATTTATTTCTTTACTCTCTAACAGGATTTATATGCAGCCTATATGAACTTTGTCCCAAACTCAGCCACTCGCCCAAGTCCTGAAAGCTCTCCACCTAAACCGCAAGCATGTGCAGTGACCCCTACACTCTACACCCCACGTCCTCCTTATGACTTTACATTTGAGGATCTCGCATTCAGCTTGTATGGAAAATCTGTTGTTCAACCTATCGACACTGAGCGGATACAAAGAAAGCGACGTATGAATTCTCATCATTGGAGTGGGGATGCAAAACGAAAAGCAGGAAACTTTGGAAATCGTGAGTAAATTATTTGTTTTGTGGAAACACCACGTTTATTCATTTGGCAAAGCTTCCAATCTTTACCAGTGGAATATTTATTAAATAGATTATCTTCACATAATCAATCAGTTGGCGATTCACAGGCAATATTTAATCAACATTACGCTGTTAATACATAGCGCGTTTAAAAAGTTTATGCAAATCAAGATAATTTTGCATATGATGATACAACACCTCATTAAACGCGGCTGGGTTACGAACCCGCGACCTTCGAATTACTAGATCGATGCTCTACCAACTGAGCTACACGGTCAGACGGATCGCATTCTTCCATCTGGAGCAAGAACGTCAGTCATTCGGCTCAAAAGAAAAATGAATTGATGTCCAATGCTATGAAGTTTGTAAAAAGTTTTAATATCATTTTTCCGAGCTAATTCCAGTTTTTTCTGACGGACCCGGGGCGTATCTTATAAAACCAGCATAGTATTATTTTTTACATAGAAGTACTACACGAGTGTTCACGGGGTAGTTACCAATACACTCTCGACCTAGGGCAACCTCGTACCCAGGTTACAAGTAATACAAGATTATCCAGCATAAAAAATTGATTCATTTCATTCGATAGATCATGATGTTTCCCCAGAACAAACATGGTCAATACCTCATCTTATCACACGTCAACCGAAGCTTCCCTGCAGTAACCAACATTCTGACAAGATCGATATAGCTCCATCTAATGCCATCATGTCATTTCTACCAGAAGTACAGTTATGTATGTCAAGTTTACCAGGAGGAGAGCTTGGTGTGTGTTCTCGAAGAGAAATCCCAAAGGACACTGTGATTGGCCCGTATAAAGGACGGAGAGTTAAACCGGAAGAACTGAAGATGGACAATGGAGCCAAAATGTCCTATCTTTGGGAGGTATGGCACAACGTTCACGGCCGGTTTTCAAATTTTCATCAACAAATTATCCTGTTCATTAGGCACACGTGACCAGTTCAGTACACGAAAACGAGGCCCTATAGCCAAAGTGACATACTCTCCGGAAGGATGTATTAACATGATTAACTATTTAACCAGTGAGAAATAAACTCCAGTTGGTATATTTTCAATTTCACAACCACTCGAATTTGAGCCTTTTTAAAAATGTGTATAATCCAGAAATATGCCCTACAGATTTTGAGTAGAAATATGCTCTACAGATCACTACTGTGTGGTATTCAAGAGACCAAATAACAATTAGCTCATTGGTTTTGACTTATTTTTCGACACCAGACATTGTTAAACATTGAAATTGTTTTATTTCTTCCAGATCTACAAGTGTGGTAAATTAGACCACTATCTGGACGGGTCGGACGAGAATATCTCCTGTTGGATGAGATTCATTCGCTCAGCCAGGAACAAGGAAGAACAGAATTTATGCGCCATTCAACATGGAGAGAACGTATTTTATCGAACATTGGTGGATATTTCTGTTGGAACTGAGCTGTTGGTGTGGTATGAAGATAAATATGAGGAGTATTTTGGAATTCCAATTGTTTTACATAACGACAATCACAAATCATCGCAACAAGGTAAGACGTTTAACGAATAGATGTCCACAATGATAGAAAATATATCCATTGACTTAGTAACTATTACTGTATAACGTTTATAGTATGTGAGCGTTGATTGGTCGAGAAGCGTGTTTCTAAGAATGCATGGAAACACCGGAAATTTCTCGTCTCGCAGCTTTGATTTTAAAACGTGAAGAAAACAATTTTAACACGCGGTATAATCGGGGGAAAATGTGATATACTACTTTTGACAACCAGATTAAATTAAGGAACCACACAACAAAGAGAAAAGTTTAAATAGAGAAGAACTTCACTGTTCTATGAGAGTTTGTAAATCTAATCGATATCAAAATGGCTATAAAACCTTTTCTTGAATTATATATAAGCCTCCATTATGCTTTTCTCGACGTCGTTCCCATGATTTCCATAGAAAGCTCACTCAAAGATACAAATCTAATTTTCAGCAATAGGCCTTCAAATGGTACTCCAACGCTAGCTATAGTTACTCTTTGCTTTGCGAAAATATCTGCTTATATATGACCTGAAAGATTCGCACCTCGCAACACCAAAGCCTTGGTCCAACTAGCCTGCGTATGGACCAACGAGAATGATAGTTAAGAAGCGAGAGATTGCATGAGAGTTTTCTCAACTCTCGTGTTCCGGTCAAACGAGAACAAGAGTTGATGAGAATTGACTGGATATTGCAGCGTGCCTAGCGAAAACTCTCATCAAATCTGATCAATATTTGAACCAGTTCAAAGTAATGAGAGTCGATGAGAGTTGGCGGTCAAACGTGAACGAGAGTTATCAACCCTCATCCTCGTTTGACCGAGTATTGCACTTGTTGTATTAGTACTTAGTATGAATGTGAAGACCCGTGATATGATAGTGAGTACTAGTGTATGAAACCTCATAGATTTTGATGGTTTTTTCTTAGATTGGAGAAATCCACCACATCTTGCATACCAGTCCCTTCGCCGTGAGCCATTCACACCAGCGATGCTGAAGACAATGGAAAGAACGCGACTTTGGATTGACGAGAGACTGGGTATAAATTCTGGCGAAGATGACGACACTGCTGGATCCAGACTCCTACGACGTGATAGTTGTGATGACGACAGTTCGTTCCCAGGCTCTCACAACTCTGACGGCGAGACTCGGTGTACAACACCTGAAGACACGGGGTCTCATTTGTGGAGATGTAATCAATGCCAGCAATCATTTAACCAGCGGTCAGCATTAAGAATTCACGTATGCTCCACGCAAACAAAGAAACCTTTCGACTGTGGACATTGCACGTTATCCTTCGCTGATCCGAACGCATTACGAGGACATGTTGAAACACATACCAACGACCGCTTGTTCAAGTGTGGCTACTGCGGACGCAGATTTGCAGGCGCAACGACACTGACCAACCATATTCGCACACACACCGGCGAAAAACCGTTTTGTTGTGAAAAATGCGGGAAAAATTTTTCGCAAGCGTCGCAGCTCAGCAGGCACCAAAGAATTTCCGGTGATTGTGTTTGAAATTATGACAAACCAATGCACTCAAAGCTAAGAGCAAATTACATGTAAAATATAATACTCTAAAAGGAGAACTACTATGCATGTACTCTTTTATCTAGTTATTTGTGTGTACATGTACTCTTTTATCTTATTTGTAATGTGTAAGAATATGAAATTAATTCTAGCTGCACGAGGCCACCAAATGATTTAGAAAAAACAATACTAGGAGACCCAATGATTAAAAGAACAAATGAAAAGTTATTTTAATTAAAACTAACGGGGTAGCACAGTAATACTTTAATTGTATTTAAAGAAAACATTTCAATTTAGCAAGAATATTAAAACAGTCCTGTACAAAGTCTTTAAATGTAAATAGTGTATAAAATAGTTAGAAAATGCGACATCATGCAGTTAATTAAAACATTTTAGGGTCACACACATGATAGTCTTCCTCTGACTATAAAGTTAAAAGTTGCCATAGTTCGTAATAGACCACATTGTTCTTTTCCAGTTCGTTAGCATATGTGATATAGTCAGGGAGATAGGACGGTGAAAACTCATAATATGGGGGGGGGGGGCAATTCTAGTTTGCTTTCATCTTGTGCCTATAGGGCCAGTAAGTATATTTCTGTATGTTGGCGGCGTTCAAATTTCTTGTCAGCTCCTGAAACATGTTTTTCTTCGATTTTCCTATAAAACTCCTATAGCTATTGTTAAAAACGTGAAATTCCATGTTCGTTTAGAGAAAATATAACTTGCATTATTAGAACGCTTCAATTTAGTACAAAAGCTACACAGCTATAAGACATTTAAACGGTTACCTTAAAGTTTCAAGCGGTGTTCGAGTTATTGCTGTTCCAAAATGTGAAAAATAGGCCAAAAACTCGCAAAAATCCTGGACACTAGTCTTAAAACACGTTTTCAAAAGCTCACAACTCAAGAAGCTCAAAAATCAAGGTAACCGTTCATATGTAGTTTTTTGTAAGCTTTCTAATGCTGCAAGTTTTTCTTTTCTATAAATGAACCTAAAATTTCAAAAGTTTAATAGGTAAATCGAAGAAAAACGTGTTGGCAGGAGCCCACACATCAACGATGGCTCCGGGTACGAGATTGAAGGCGAAATGAAGATTGAACGCCGCCGACATGAAGGCGAAATGGAATTGCTCCCCATATGCATAGGCGTCGAAAGATCGATAAGTGGGGGGGACCATATTCATATATTCGTGTTCACAGACCTTAAAAACAATCGATTTCAAAAGAAATTAATAATGCAGAACACGAATATATGAATATGATCCCCCCACTTATCGATCTTCCGACGCCTATGCCCATATGGTGAGTTTTTATTCATACTTGATCCTCTATCTGCCTGATTAATATTTTTTATCCAAGTACAGTTTTCGAGCATTGTGGCACTCGGCCAGATAAACAATTTTACTTCACAAGCGGACCGAATTGAATAGCTCTTTCGTGTGAAAGACGCGGTGTTATTCAAATTTTGGTTTGACATGCTTCGGTGATGTCGTTTTAGTTATAGATTGAAAGATGCAACAGTCTGATCTTTCCAGCACTGTCATTGATGTAATATCCACAAAGATATTCTTCTTTATTACTGGAGAGTAGTATATGCATCATTGTGACATTGTCTCCGTTTAAGAGAAAGAAAACACGGTTTGTTTTTCACAACAACATATTGCATAATTTATGCAATTTTTACACAATCGTTTACAAGTATAACAGTGTTGATTCAAATTTTTTCGAACCCTTCAGTGATCAAGCCTTTTGCCTGCTTTAAGAGTGAAAATATCCACTGTATCCACTGTATCACTAGAACGTTTTCTTATTATTCCTCAAACTCTAGGGAGAGACCTAATAAATAAACTAGCATTTTATAAATTAATTCACAATTAATTAAATGCCTAATTGTGCCAAGCACTTTCAAACGCTTCAGTAATTATGAAAAATTTATTTTTTACAACTTTTACCAAACACTTGCTTCAAATATCTACAACAAAACCATGTACTGGCATTTCATCACTATAACTTTAGATGTTATAATTTTCAAACTGTCTGTAGCCTATTGGTGATGTTTGTGAAGCCCTTTCGAACGCTTCAGTGATCATGTTTGATTATAAATATATACAAAGCTTTGAAATGTGCCTGCATGATTGGATCACTTCATGGTACACAACAACATTGACTGTTTTTACTGAAGTGTTTATTCGGTACTGTGGATCGAATATACCTC